TAGGCAATAGAAGTGAATTCTGAGACAATCTTCTTTGTTCAGAGCTCCTCCCTAAAAAAAAACCCACTGCAAATGATCACCAAAACCCCCAGAACTTATGTACTGGAATTCCTCCTCACAGGATTTCCCACCTCTGTACTCCTGGTCAAACTGGAGTCTTACAGGTGCTTTTGATTCTGTAAGCATTGCAACCTAATAAGGACGTCACTTTTGCTATGCAAAAGCTAACCATTTGTTTATGGAATTTATTAATTCCCTACTATAGAAACACCGTTGCATTTTCCCCTGGATTCTCCCTCATTGACCAAAAGCAGGGCAGCACTTCAGCTAAGGCCTTCCCAAGTGGGAAAACACAGACATTTGGCAGGTTTCAGTTCTGCATCTACATGCTGATGTGACCATCCATTTCACAACGGCATAGTACTGCTGACTTGCATGCAGCTTGTGATCTATCTCCAATCCTAGTTTCTTCTTGGGAACTGGTGCAGTTTCAAGTTTCTGACAGTTATAGGGTGTGTTTAGTGAAACCAGCACAGTGACTCAGCTCTTTCAAATGCCAGATTTTCTATTCCTGCGGAAGTTGGCTGGTGCTGGGGGCACAGTAAGGTTTAACATTTCCCAAATGCATCAGACATGCTGCAATTGGCTATTATATGGAAGAGATATGCTGTAGCTCTTGTCAAGGTGTCTTGGGTGAGAATCCACACATCACCATGTGTTCACATCATCATGTTGAGGATTTGCAAGAGTACAGCAGCTCATCTGGAAGCATCTAACTCAAGGATTCCCAGACACAGACAATTCTCAACATCCACATGGACAAAGTTTCCAGATAGAAAAAAGGAGTATATCATTAGCAGAGCGCTCCATAAAGACATGAATCTTGCTCTCAGCTTGGATCCAACCAACACTACCAACAAGCCATATACATAAACTGCCCTTCTCTCACTCCAGGTAAATTTCCTCAGAGACTAGAAAGTCTCGTCTCCACTAGTATAGCCATTTCAGGTCAGAGCAAAAGTCCATCTGTTCCACTGTCTGCCTCCAACAGTGGACCTAACTCCATGCTCAGGGAGAGTCAAGAACAAGGTAAACAAAGTTGCTTCCCAGGCCATGATCAATCAGCCTGACAAATGTAAGCTGCAAATTAGTAGAAACTGTGAAAAGAACAGAAATAGTGGAACAGTAGTATGTATAACATCATAAGAAAAAAAATCCCAACTATAAGCTTTCGTGCAGAAGTCAGTGCTGTCCCATGCTACAGTGTACATCTGTACTGATGCTGGGACTTCAAAGAGTTTTTCTGCTCCTCCTGCACAGCCTTATCACCCCCTGAGAGCTTCTGTGCTCCCTGACCATTCAGTGACCCATCAACTCCCTGGCAGACTTCCTGTTCATGGTGTGTTTGAACAGATAACAGACATTTTAGTTATTAAGCTTTTAGCCAATTGTGCCTCACACTCCTTCAGCCAGCCTTATCATGTTTGTACATTTCATTTGCCAGAGTTTATCGTTTTTTCAGTTTTCTGGACACCACTTCAGCATTTTGAAGGATGCCTTCTTCCTCCTGCAATCTCACTTACCCTGCCAATGCTGGCTTCTTTTCACTCTTCTTCAAGTTTTTATTGATACACTGTTATTTTCTCTGCACTTCCTATGTGATTTACAGAAGCAATATCCATATCCTCTACAAAGAGTTAGGTCCCCCATCCATCTCACTTTCAACAAGCTTCCTGATCTGTGTCTAGTTTTCCTTTATGGAGCTAAGCACAGCAATGAAAGAACTCTGACTTGTCTTAGTCCTGCAAGGATGCAGAGCCTAAGCACACAAGACCCCTATTTCAGGGGAGCTCTTCAGCTGTTCTTCTCTACATCATATCATCATATCCCATAAACCATTCAGGATTAAAGTCAAGCATTGCCCTCATGGGCTCCTGAACCAGCTGCTCCACAAAACAGCCATTGAGACATCCAAAGAGTGTGTTTTACCAAGTCTGGATGTAGTTTATGCCTATTCTAGACTGAATAACGGAAGTCATCCATACCTACTTACTTTCTCCCTCTACTCAGCTTGTTGTATTGCCATCACAGTCCACCAGTCAGCTAGGCAGAATCAGTATCATACATTCTTACTACTTAGGTTTGACACTTCCACCAGCGTGAAGTCTGGATTGTTCATTGATGAGATTACCTTGTTAGGCAGTTCAGCTCCAAAGTGTGTTTAATACACAGAACTACTAGTTATCAGCAAAGCTCACTGCATCCTTCCTGAATACACGATATCATGGGAATGTGCCACTGATCATCATCTTTCCAAGTTTATGACATCTGCACTGTTAGGATCTCCATGAAGGATTAGACATACCAGTTCCCTCAGGTCATTCCTTAGACATCAAGCACTCCCACAGAGGAGTATTTCTTTTAAACAATCTCTCATTCCTGTCTGTTCCCTGTTTCCTCTTCAACAAGGTTTGACCTTAACACCCACGGAAGGGCTGTGAACCAACAGCACTCAAGGCATGATACGGCAGGGTGGTTGTTGGCTGGGGATTATCAGTAGTAGGCGCTTGACTTGAATTAATTTTCCTCTGAGCATGAGGAACTCGATTTTGTTTCTTCAAAAAGGCACACTGCACAGTTCATTTATTTACTCAGGCATTTCCTGAGTGAGTGATCTACGCTGTGGAAGGCCCTTTTGTTTTTCTTTTTTTTTTCTGGGCAGGGTTATTTTTAAGTAGTCCTCTCCCCCAAGGATATCAGCTGGCCAGCACCAGCTTCAGCAGTTCATAGACAAAGGGGCTTGGTTTTGCAGTGAGAAAAACTCAGACCTTAGCACTTGAGGAAAAACATCATCTTACAAACATCACCACTCTTAGAAGAATATCTCCATGTGTTTAAAGTAGAACAGGATATTTAAAATTAAATCACTTAGGAAGTTAGGACCTTTGGCATGCCACAGTAGGTTACATGGAGATGATTCTATATTTAAATTGAGATACACCATTGTAAAATACAAGTGCTTTGGCAGTAAATAAACACAAAACTGGAGCAACACAACGACAATTTTGATCAAGAAGAAATTTCTCTTTGGTTACCCAAGTGCAAATTCAAATAAAATTTATAATCACTATGAGAAATATCACAGCAATTTTTAAACGTACTCTGTACTTTATAAACTGTTCCCACACAAGATGAAGGTCAATCTAAAGGTAACGGACCTAATGGTCAAACTTTTGTGCATTTTTTGTATATGTTCCTATTGGCTTATTTGGTAACATTAGTGCTAGCCCAGATTTCAGCATTCCTTACTGAGGCTGCTCCTTAGTCCTGAAGCACATTTAGATTATTCAATACAGTAGTTTAACTAAATTTCAGTACTAGTTAACTTTTCTAACTTCTCTTGCTTTTTAACGCTGTTGCACACAGGGATTGCAATATTGAACTAAGTACACAGTTTCTGCTTTCTGTATTGCAATGCTAAATGAACAATAAAAAGCTCTCAAACACAGAATCATAGAATGGTTTGGGTCGAAAGGGACCTTCAAGATCATCTAATTCTTGCCCCTTTGCCATCGGCAGGGACACCTTCCACTAGATGAGGTAGCTCAAAGCCCCATCCAGCCTGGCCTTGAACAATTCCAGGGATGAGGCACCACAACTTCTCTGGGCAACCTGTTCCAGTGCCTCACCACCCTCAGAATTAAGAATTCCTTCATTAGGTCTAATCTAAATCTACCCTCTTTCAGTCTAAATCCATTGCTCCTTGTCCTATCACTACACGCCCTTGTAAAAGAAGTCCCTTTCCAGCTTTCTTGTAGGTACCCTTTAGGTAATGGAAGGCTGCCAAAAGGTCTCCCTGGAGCCTTCTCTTCTCCAGGCTGAACCACCTCAACCCTCTCACCCTGTCTTCATAGCAGAGGTGCTCCAACCCTCAGATCATCATCACGTTCCTCCCTCTGGACTCATTCCAACAGCTCCATGTTCTTATGTCGGGAGCCCCAGAGCTGGATGCAACACTGCAGGTGGGGTCTCATGAGAGCAGAGTAGAGGGGCAGAATCACCTCCCTTGACAGCTGGCTTTCTGGGCTGCAAGGGCACACTGCTGGCTCATGTTGAGCTTCTGATCAACCAGCACCCCCAAGTCCTTCTCCTCCGGGCTGCTCTCAATCCATTCTCCACCCAGCCTGTACTTGTGCTTGGCATTGCCCTAACCCATGTGCAGGACCTTGCACTTGGCCTTGTTGAACTTCATGAGGTTCTCACAGGCCCACCTCTCCAGCCTGTCAAGGTCCCTCTGGGTGGCATCCCTTCCCTCCAGTGTGTTGACCACACCACACAGCTCGTGTGTCATCTGCAAACTTGCTGAGGGTGCACTCGATCCCACTGTCCATGTCACTGACAAAGATATTAAACAGCACCGGTCCCAGTGCTGACCCCTGTGGAACATCACTCCAATTCACAATACAAATTGTATCTTTCAGTGGGAGGGGAAAGGAAGGAGGGTTTTGCAGTCTCAGTAATGCAGCGGAACTTTTAGCAAGGAAGAATCAAATTAATAACACTTCTTACATTTTGTTTTTTTGCTAGAAGTCTACAAGATGAGAGCAGCAAGCGAGGCCAGTGGAGAGATGGCAAACATTGAGACAGAAGCCTCCCCACCGTTTAGTCCTTGAGCAGATAATAGAGAGAGAACAGAAAGAAACTCTTTACGCCCCTGTCTTGGCACAGTCAGAGCTGTGCTGAGCGTTGCGAATCACCATAGCCTGGAAGCATGAGCTTTTTTTTTTTCCCTTTAAAAAGTTTTCAGGAAGTCTGGGGGAGGGGCAATGCTGTTTCTTTTTTGTTATAATGGGCCCCTTTGTGGAGATGGAAGAGGAGAAGAGATCTGTGTGCCTGCGGTGCACACGCTTCCCACTGATTTCCAGGGTAACTTCCTAGGGCTCCTAAAAAGTGCTGGGCCCCTGCTGTGCAGGGAAAAGGGGAGAGGGGGCTGCTCCAGGATGGAGCTGATGGTACTTCTCAATGCCCTGGTTACTCGCCTGCTCTTTGTGCTGCATTCTCTCATCGGGGTCTGGAGAGTGGCTGCAGTGAAGAAAGAACCCAAGTACTGGCTGCTGGCACTGCTCAATCTCCTCCTGTGCCTGGAGACGGGGCTCACCCTCAAGTTTAAGCAAGGCAGAGGCTACAAATGGTGAGCATATTCCAGCGGCTCCCACCGAGCCCCTCTTGCTTCTTTGCATGTACTTTGCAGCAGATGTGGGGCTGCCTTCTGAGAGCAGAACTGCCCTGGCTGTGTTGCTGCCAAGCTTTCAGGGGATGGCTTTTTCTGCTCTGCTGCACCTGGAGGGTGGGAAGGGGGAAAACTGGTAAAGCCCTGGGTTTGGCAATGGACTAAACAGAGGGCTTTCAGAAGGGGCAGTTTTGCAGCAGACTACTTGGAAGCCGCGCTCTGTAATGTCTCTGTGTGTGTGTGTGTGTATATCCATACTAACAGCTGAAAGTAGCGGGAAACGTAGCTGCAGGCAAGGGGTTCATGGTCTGGAGCTGCTGATCGAGTGGGCTGGGGACACAGGGGGCACGCACACTTTCACACCGTCGCTGGGCACCTCCTAAGGTAAAATGCATCAAGAGCACAGGTGAGAGGTGCAGAAGGGTGCTGGGGGGCCCACGCAGGCTGTTCCATGCAGATGCCTTGCATCTCTTACCCCATCCTGCCATGCTCTGGTTTGTACTTCCTTCCCTGGGACTGCATTCCCTGTCCCCACTGCTTGCAACAGTGCTAACACCATGCTAGCACATGAACAAAAACTCAGTGATGAACAAAAGATGAGCAGCAGCCACTCTTGCTGTATTGCAAATCTAAAAATTTGGATTTGAATTTGAGAGGCTATTTCAGAGGCAAACTTTCATGCATGAAAGGCTGCCTGAGAAACAAAGAAAAAAAGTTAGTCATAGCAGAGTTTGCCCAAGCACATGGGTTTTTACATGCATCTAAAGAAGTACTGCAGTCATCTACAGCTCATCAGCGCTCAGTCAGCTGAAACAAATGCTCTGTAAAAAGGAAGTGGTCACATAACTAATTGTCAAGATTTCATTAGGACCTTTTATTTTTAAAAACTCAAACCGCAGGGAGGCCCTGAGACAAATCCAGGACAAAAAAAAAGCCCTAGCATATTTCAATGATCTCAAACTCCTGCCCATTGCAACCTGTGAAACTCATTATAACAGAAGCAGTGTTGTGTGACAATTCACACACGTGTTCCTTGTTCTAAATTCGAATGTAATAAAAGCAGCGATAAAGTCTGGGACACAGGAAAATTTAACAACAGCAGAGCTCCAAATGCCCAGTTACGAGACAGAGGCAGAGTGAGCAGACCTGATTCACTGGAGAGAGGAGGAGGCAGCAGCAGAGACTTCATGAAGGAACACTTGCTATGGCAGCTTTTGGAAAATCCAAAGGAAAATAGATACAGAAAGCAGATCCATTTTAGATGAATATATGTGCTAGAAGACTGGGCTAAATTTAGCTAGAAGGAAATTTTGTAAATGGATGTAGTCCAGCACTTTATGCAGCACAGTAGAGTCCATTTATAGGTAAGAACTGTAGACAAGTGGCCAGCATCTATTTGTGTCAGGATAACTTTCTGCCCTAGTGGAAAACCCATTCAGACCAGGCAGTATCATCTGCATTTATAGAAACAACTCCATAGACAATCACTGTGCCACAGGACTCTGCTGCCTCCACGGGCCTCAATCTCTCCATTCCTTATTGACAGCAGACTTACTTACTACACCAGCACAAAAAATTTAACGGCAGATGTGGAGAAAAAGTATTATTGTGGGCCTGGCCACACAGTATTTCCTCTAGATTGTTCCTTCTGAAAGAAAGGCAGGGTTAAAGCCCCTGAAGTCTCCTGGCCTGATCTGGTATCATTAGCTCAGTATAGCTAACCTGCCAGCTGGATGGATTTTTCATGTGCTCAGGTCCTACAGGAAATACTATAAAATAAGTTAGTTCGCTCATTCAAATGAGGTGTGTTTTCTCCCAAAATAACCATGCTAAAACCCTAGAGAAGCACTAACTTTTTTTTTTTTAAAAAGGCAAACAACAAAAAACCCACTGCCAAAACAAGCAACTACACCTCCTCATTCTTCTCCAGAAAAACACAAACCCAAAAACCAAACACGCACACACAAAAAAACAACCAAAAAACCCAAACCAGGTCTTATCTTATTTAGAGGGGATTGAGTGAAACATTTCACAGCAGCTCAGCAACCCAGTCATTTTCCTGAGCAGGGTTTTTTTTTTCTCTTCCTCAATATTTAATCTCTGGAAAAGTCATGATTACACAAATAAAGGTAAATTAAAGATAGGAACAAACAATAAGTGCAACAACATTTGACCAAAACATCGCTACAGTTACATACTTATAAGCAATTTAAATTCACTGCAGAACGTGCCAATGACAGGCACGACAGGATAGAAGGAATTAAGCTAGTATCCCGAGTTTGACTGCACTTCCCCATCTTGGGCCAGCACCTATATGTGATGCAAAGGCTGCTGTGTGTTTCGGCAGCATGGCAGTGATGCTCAGTCCATACTATGACAGAGCTAGATGGAACATTAGTGACATCAGACCTCATTCCTACTCCAAAAGGATAAGGATTGCCAAAAAAACCCACCCCAAACAAAAAACTGTCACATGTTTAATAATAAAACATCAGCAACCTTCACGAAAAAAATAAAATTAGTGTTTCTAGAAGGAGTAATGAAATCTTTTTAGTATTTCTGAATAAACTCAGCTCAAGAAGCTGAGGATAATAAAGATTCACCATCATAAGTTATATAGAAGACTAAGAGAGAACTAGAGACAGAAATCCTAAACACTTACACAATTGCCAGCACAAATGGGCAAACAAGGCAAAGACGTTTTCATAAACCATTTCAGCCTGCACTGGGAGACTTCATACTGAAGCAATGCTTATTTTAGGCAAACTGGTGCTATTTCTACCTTTCCTGTGTCAATGCACAGGATTGGGATCGACAACCTTTATTCCAGCATCATTCCATGAAGTGACTCATTGTATTAATTCATCCTTCAAGAAATCAGACAGCATGTTAGCTAGAAGCTTCCCTACCTCCCCCCACCCCGGCCGCCCTTAAAGTACAGAGAATGCTATGATAGAAATACGAACAGCAAAGTGCCTTTGGTTAGTTCTTAAAAAGAGATTTTAAGTAAACTTCCATATGTGATCTTAGGTGGATATACAAATAAATCCATGATTCATAATACTGACAGCATAAGGAATTCAGCGAGAATAGCAACTCTTATTTGCAGTTACCCTATTTCTTAATATCCCATATAGTAGGGGGCACAAGATACTTTTCAATGCAGATGATAGGCTATATGGTATTTACAATGTCATGTAATACGAAGCTATCTTTTCCTTCACAGGTTTTCACCAGCAATATTTTTGTATCTGATTTGCACAGTACCATCACTATGGCTACTAGAAATTCATCACGGGACTCAGGTATTTATTATGAGACAAGATGGACTTGTTTGAAATTGATGCATTATTTGATGGGTTGGATTTAGGCATACACACAGAAGTCTGCCAGGTCTTGTTCCAGTTTTCTGTTTTATACTTGTGGATCTCCCAATCCAGCTACAACTATACTATGACTACTGTTTATTTCCTAAATATCAAATAATGAACCCCATTCCTAGCTAAAAATGAGACAGCTTTTCTGTATTTGGCTAGGGAACCAAGGACTAGACGTTTGAAAAACAGCCTTTCACCCTCAGGTTACGAGCTTGAATCTTGCTCAGGATGGTGAAAGAATTTCATTGCTTTAGAGGCTGGTGTAAAATAAAGTATGAGTTTCACAGCACTTACAGACAGATACCACAACTCCAAGCAAGCCAAAATTGAGACAAGTATCAGTGAAAAGTGTCTTAAACTCAAGTTACCTCATGTTTGCTGCAACCTAGGAGAATACTCACAGGTTGCTACCACAGATAGCTGACACAGTAATTTGTCTGTCAAGTGTTTATGTCCTTTCTTTATTCATGCTTTATAGTAACCTGAGAGTAGGGGGAGTCTGGATTCCAATTCAGGACTACGATACATAGTAAGATTTTTAAATGTAATTATTCTTCTGGCAGATGGGGTCAGTTAGGGCCAGGACAGAGCCACTTAGCCCAGTAGTCCACACTGAGTGAACAACCTCCCCATGCAGACTGCTTTCAAGTCCCCATAGCACTTCTACGTAGTGAAACTGGGATTTTGTCTGTCCCAGCATTTGCACATAGGCAATACCTTACATCCACAGCAGAAAAGGGCCCAATAAGAACAAGAGCAAAAAGCAACATAAGAAAATACATAAATTAGACTAAGAAGACATAGTGCCTCATTTTCTCCTTTGAAACATTGTTAGAGCCCACAGAAGCATAATCAAATATTCAAAATTGTGTTTACACTGA